GTCAATCAGACAACTTCCAGAGGTATAGCCAGGAACACAAGGATGAAACTATAAGTCAGTCAGACAACTTCCAGAGGTATAGCCAGGAACACAAGGAAGAAACTACTAGTCAATCAGACAACTTCTATAAGTATGTTCAGGAACACAAGGAAGAAACTACTAGTCAATCAGACAACTTCTATAAGTATGGCCAGGAACACAAGGATGAAACTATGAGTCAATCAGACAACTTCCAGAGGTATAGCCAGGAACACAAGTATGAAACTATAAGTCAGTCAGACAACTTCCAGAGGTATAGCCAGGAACACAAGGAAGAAACTAGTAGTCAATCAGAAAACTTCTATAAGTATGTTCAGGAACACAAGGAAGAAACTACTGGTCAATCAGAAAACTTCTATAAGTATGTTCAGGAACACAAGGATGAAACTACTAGTCAATCAGAAAACTTCTATAAGTATGTTCAGGAACACAAGGAAGAAACTACTAGTCAATCAGACAATTTCTATAAGTATGGTCAGGAACACAAGGATGAAACTATGAGTCAATCAGACAACTTCCAGAGGTATAGCCAGGAACACAAGAAAGAAGCATCTAGTCAATCAAATGACCTTCCTAAAATATCAACAAAAGACATAAAAAGTAACCAATGATTAGTGAGGTTACCATCTGGACATACAGCTAAGGCCATATAAAAATAATAGATAGTCTATAAGGAGCCTTCAAGATATTTGAAAGAACAGAGACATAGCAAAATAATCAACAAAATTAACTTTCAAGTATATAGCAAAGAACACAAGGAAATAACATCTAGTTGGTAAGACAACCTTCTAGAGGTATGACTGAAAACACACGACAGAACAACTAGTTGGTAAGATAACCTTTCAGAGTTACGACTGAAAACACATGACAGAACAACTAGTGGTAAGATAACCTTTCAGAGATATGACTGAAAACACATGACAGAACAACTAGTTGGTAAGACTAACCTTCCTAGAGGTATGACTGAAAACACAGACAGAACATCTAGTGTTAAGACAACCTTCCAGACTTCAATGAATTGTAAGTCTTTAATTTTTAACATGACAGTAGTAATCAGTCTGCCAGATGCTTTGACTATTAGTCTTTCAAGTGATTTTCTGGAACGAAGTCATAAGTCAAATGATCTACCTAGCGATGACATAAAGGTTCAAGTTACCATGGTACTTTGTAATATTATTTCATAGAATTTCTTTAGAAACAGTGTGTAATTATCTTGTGAGACTATAGTAATATAGTTACTGTTTTATTCAACTGACAATCCTATGAAGGCTGACTAATCTAATTACAGAGTAACTAGATGCATGTAGTTTTATTCTATTTTCTTCCTGATAGAAATGAATACAAACCCTATAATATGAGCGCTTTCGAAAGGTGGACCTTTCTTCTTCCTGACATATTTGTGATTTTGGAAATTAAAATGAATGTGACTGTGGAACTGACTATGATATATATATTTGTAGAACTAGCATTGATTATGTGATCTGTATGTATACTCATAAACTTCGATATGTGATGTATAGAAAATAGTAAAACAAATGTTCATACGTGATCTGCAATTACCTTGTAGGGCTTACTTTCGGAGACTCTGTACTTCCAATACTACCAACCAGAGTGGCCGTACTTGTGGTGCTGCTCATGTTTGTGGGGGTACTGAGGCCACTGACTTCAGGGGTTAGGGTATCACATGAGTGGGAGGATTGGACGGAAGATCCAGGAATCGCTAAGAGAGCACTCTCAATCTCTTCTTCTTCTTCTTCAGGCTGCTCGTCTGAGCCGTTCTCTAATTTTTGTTGTGCAGCTCTGACAGTGAGTTCCGGGGTTGATGGGAGAAAAATGGGGATTGTCAAAGGTTCTGGTCCAGGTGATACTGGTGAAGTCTCACGAATGCGTTTCAAATTTTGTTCTTTTTGTTCTTCTTCAACTTCAAAACGTTAATAAAAGTTAATGCACAAACTAGAAAATATACCTATAATTTCAAAAATAAGTTATAAAACTGTTAAAGCTTTTGTATCATTCCCAGGTAATCAACAAGAGTTTCAATATAAAACAATGTTACATTGTAGTTTATATAATATTTTGTAATGTACTGTCTAAAATATTAAAGCAGTAATACACCCTCACAGATTAACACTTAGGAAGGGTATTCTTTATTACTAATACTGTTTAATAAACAGAAGTATTACTAGTTTTGGTGAGAGACAAATACAGAAATAAGCAATAATGAGTAGTAGTATCTCTCCTAGTCTGACTGGTATTTGACCAATGTTGGCCTGCAACTCCTAGTAGTGACATTCCTGCAAACATATTAACATGTTCAGACCAGCTTACTGCCAAACGTATGTAACCATCCAGGCAGTATGGAGATTTCAAAAAAATCGAAAATAGTTAATATTCTGTGTCCAGCAACTGTCTGAAGTCTAGAAGTGGATGACATTTTGGTCTCCATGCTAAGGTCTTTATCATACACATTCTTTCCAATGAAGTCCATGCTAAGGCATTTATCAAGCACATTCTTTCGATTCAAGTCCACACTAAGGTCCTTATCAAGCACATTCTGCCCATTGTAGTCCATGCTAAGGCCTTTATCAAGCACATTCTTCCCAATGAAGTCCATGTTAAGGCCTTTATCAAGCACATTCTTCCCATTGAAGATTTAATACCAGTAATATGCACTTTCTAAACAGTCTTTAAACCAAGGCAGTTAATAAGCTCAAATTTAAAAGAATGTTATCTTTAAATGAACATAATTGATAGAAAATATGTACTAATTTTCTTTGACTGTTTCTAATTACACGTCCATTCAAACTTGTTAGGACTTATACAGTTTACACAATGTCAATATACACTGCTATGACTTGTAAAGTTTACAGATTATTAGCATACATTACTATTACTTGTAAAGTATGTAGAATATCAACATACATTGCTATTACTTGTACAGTTTATAGAATATCAACATACGTTACTATGACTTGTACAGTTTATAGAATATCAACATACGTTACTATGACTTGTACAGTTTATAGAATATCAACATACGTTACTATGACTTTGACTGTTTATAGAATATCAACATACGTTACT